TTATTTCAAGATAAATAACAGAAATAGCGTTTATTTGACGTTCCTTAGCAATCATTAAGAATTCATAAATTTTATTATACATTACGGTAGATATATTTACGTAGTTAGTTTAGAATATAAAATATTACTAATATATTAAGATAATATAAACAGCAAAATAAATGACAAAAAGCTAAAAATTACCTATACTACCCTTTTAAATGCTACTATTTTCTCATATTTACATCTTTCTAAATTTATATCTATGTTGAGAAAAAGATAGGAAAAAATATGCAAGGTATTTTATGTCAAAATTTTATATTTATTAGTAAAAATATGCGAAATGTACATTGAAAATCTCAACATTTACAAAAGGCGTTGAGAATAATATATATACAGACTTTTTTAGCTTACCTGATCACTCAATAGTTAATATTAAGACCTAAGTAACATTATATAAATATATTCTATTCGAAATTAGTGATGTCAGAGAGCCTGTCCCTTTGAAGCAAATATTTATATCAGTAAATGTTATTCTGCTAAATCTTATTTCGTTAAATATTATAAGGAAAAATTTGAAATATTTTAGGAATTGATTTATATGTAAAATTATTTTATCACACAAGTATAGTTTCACAGATAATTTGTGAAGTATTACTATTACATCATATATGCTTTAACGAGGATTGAAAATATGTTAATTTATGTCGTATATGCCTACATACATTGGTCTTGAAACGTTTCGCATAGCTGAATAATATATTATATTATTAATATAATATTCAGGATCTGGGTCAAAGTCTGATCTGAAAATTTTGATGTACTAATTTACTATTATTATCCAAATTTAAAAAATTTATGGTAACATCTTTTTCATAAATATAGTATAAGAATTTTAATGGCAATGAGTTGCATATTCTTTCTATTTTTACTGATTTACCCTTATATTTTTCACAATCTGAAATTCTGATAATGTTCTCGAAGTTATATCTAATAAGATAAAATTCAGGATTCTGTAACCATTTTGATATGTTATACCAAGCTGTACTTCTAATAACTATATAGCCTTGCTAATATAATACTTTAAAAGTAGCTTGGAATACTACAGTATATAATCATCTATATAACTGATTTTTCTTCGCTTCTGCTCAAGTAATAGCAGAATAAATATTATGCCTATTTTCTACATAAAATTGATCACTCATATAATTAGATTCTATTAGTTTTCCATTAATAAAATGATATGTTTTATCATAAAGAACAATATTTAAAAACTTCTTATTGTCAAAAGTACCATCATTTCTCACCATTTTCTAAACTCATTTTGTCAAAGATTTGGGTCTTTTCTTGTAATTCTTATAAGCTTGCTGGATAACTATTGCATAGAAATTTTCAAAGCTATAATTATAATAGTATTTAAGAATCAAGAATCCCTAAGATCGCTTTATTGATCTCGAAAAAAATTTCGTTATAGATTAGAGGGTCTAACCCAGAATAGGCAGATCATGAATAATACCTTCAGCTAATTTTCTTCATATACAGAGGGGTATAAAAAGTATTGGCCACCCTGGTTAATGTGATGCAAAAGTGACGCGTATCATTATACCTCTACTAAATCAAGCCATAATTTCTATTTTTAATTGCGCGTGACTGTGTTTAACTAAAAATATAAACAAAACATCATTGTGATATATAAATGAGGTCATTTAGCATACGAAAAATTTTTTTACATTATATAGTGAGAAAAAATTTGTCGCAACGATGTATCTCAGAAAAGAACTTAGCAATGTTCAAAAAGGATGAATTATTGCTACAAAAAAATTAGGCCATTCAAATTCTAGAATTTCTGCAGTTGTTGGTTGCTCTCGTTCCTCTGTTTGACGTGTATAGAAGTCATATGAGTTAAAATAACTTCTGAAAAAATGAACAGGTCAATCACAAATCCTTAACGAAGCAGAACACAAATATCTCAAACATTCAGTGATTAGAAATAAAAAACCCTGACGTCAAACCCTCTCCCAAATACGTTTAAATGTTATAAATAAAACAAATAAAACTATTTTCAAATAAACCGTCTGTAATGAATTGGTCAAACAAGGTCTTCACTTGCGCATTTCTCGCTTCAGTTTATTAATTTCTGAAACTAATAAAGAAAGACGTTTACTTTAAACTCATACTTATGAAAATTAGACTGTAGAAGATTTTAAAAAAGTAGTATGATCGGACGAGTCTACTTACATACAATTTAGAATATCAGGTTTTGGATGGGTATAGCGTAAACCTTCTGAAGAATTCCACAAAGACTGCATTGTAGCTATGGTTCAAAAGAGCTTTGGTCGCATGTTCTGGGAATGTTTTTCCTGAGTTGGTATGGGTCCTTTAGTTCCTTTAGTTGGTCACGTAACTGGAAATACGTATCATAATATTTGGTTAATTATGCGATTCTCACGGTTGTCTCATGCGAAAAAGATCAAAAAAAAATTTTATTTTCAAGAAAATAACGCACCTGTCTACACTGCAAAAGTCGCACGTTCTCTCATCAAATCCTCAAATGTTGAGTTGCTTTCCTGGCCAGCGTAAAGCCCAGATATTAATCTTATAGAAAACATTTGGTTATATATTGAGATTAGAATTTGTAAGCGTGATTTCTAGCTATCAAGTGTTATGCAATTGGAGCAGTGAGTTAAGGAGGAATGGGATGTGATACCTGTAAATTATTATCAAAATTTGATCAAGTCAATGTCACATAAGGTTTAGGCTGTTCTTGCTGCAAATGGAGATCCAACAAAATATTAAACTGTAGTTCAATAAAATAAAATAAAAAAATAAAGTTAATATATTAATTGTTTTGTAATAAAATTTTCAAAACTAGCCAATACTTTTTATACCTCCAGTATATAAAGCATTCCACAAGTTTACTAAGTGATCATGTATATAAATTAATGTAATCATTCATTTCACAAAAAAATAAATTATAATTTATGAATATAATCAAGATAAATTTCTAAAATTAAAATATTTTTCTGAATCAGTCAGTTAAACTAATTAAACAATTGTAACTTTTGTTTTATCTATTAATCTTAATACAGTACCTTTTATAGATGATAAGGTCCCAAAGGGATCTAGTAAGTTTTTTTGTTTTACATACTAAAACGAGATAAATATTTTGCTTATATTGCTTTGGTAATTTGATGATTGATAAAAAGTTGGTGAAATATTTTCTTGCCTGGCAGGTAAAATACAAGCTGGCTTAAAATTTGAAGCATTTAGCATAGTATTTTTTCCCATAGATGCTTTAGCCTATACATAAGCTTTATAATGAATTGTACAATTATTATAATCATATGATACTGATGCCAATTTATTCTTTTCTTAGTATGAGTTAGATTGGGAGAAAAGCTCTAGATGAAAGCAATTAATTTTTGCCTCTTCTTGTAATATGAATTGTTTATATTATCAGATATGAAATTCTCTTCTATTAATAGATTTGAGAATTTCATTTCTTCTTGCATATTCATTCAAAATAGTATTTTCAGAAATATATCTCTTCAAGTAGCTATCTCGATAGTGATTATCTAAATGACTGTTTTCAGATATGAAAACTAAGAAGTCACATACATTACAATACAGTCAACCCTCTCTAAATGCATCCCCTCAGGACTATAGTGAAAATTTTAAAAAATGTGCATTTAAAGAGGGTGTGCATTTAAAGAGAACATTTTTATATGAATTCTATATGCTTGGGACTGAACAAGAGCATGCATTTAGAGAGAAAATATATAGTTTGTGCATTTAGAGAGGATGCATTAAGAGAGGGTTGACTGTATATGTAATTTGATGGAAGATCATGAACTTTATCATGTTCATATAAATTTCCTTATATTGTAATATATCCATTCTTAGAAAGAATTCTTGGGTTCTCTTCAAGTATTTTTCTAAATGGACCACGGATACAAGAGCACCACATTTCCGATGTTTCATGATCATATCTTTTTGTTAAAAGGCTTATCGCATTAATTATTCTTATATATTCTTCAGAACCTCCATGAGTATTGGTATGCATTAATTAGCTTAGAATAAGCTCTACTATTTAAATCCATATTTAGAATTATATATATCAAATAACCAGTTTGTAACGATTTTAGAAATTAAGAGATTTATAACAATTTCAGTAATTTATAGCAGTTTATAACAAGTATACTATAATAAATATCAGATTCATTTTTATTCGATTACAAGCATATCGTGAATTTATATTTATATATAGGGGTTCCAGAGGGATCTAATTTTATATTTACATGCATATGCACGGCGCCTGGCTAAATCAGTTTGTGGCATGACGTATATCATATCACATGTATCACCCTAATCACCCTAGATCCCTCCCAGTTCCTCGATAGTTCTAGGAGCTGGCGAGTTTCTATGCACAGCCGCCTTTGGCTAAATCACGAGATGATCGGCTAATTATATTCCGGGAAAATTAGAGACACTGGTGCAGTAATCCTGGCGCAGTACAAAGGAATTTTGGACATGCATGTCCACTAATTATGCGGAGTCAAGTATCGATCAAAAAATTTGGACATGCGTGTCCACTAATCATGGGGGTCAGTATCGATCAAAAATCATTTTCAAGCTAATCATGCAGTAGACGGTATCAATTAAAAAAATAAATGGCCGAACCGGCTAAACTTTATTAATATATGTTTTTCAGAACACTTTTTTTACACTATAATAGATATTGCCAGACGTGCAAGTCACAGGCGCAGTAATAGTATTTTATTTACAAAGCATTTTAACAATTACATATTTAATTAGTGGAAAAGTTTTAATCCGTCCTATCATTGCCCTACCCTCGATGCTACCTTGTCTTTTTATACATATAGGAGAAAAATGCTAAGACTTTGATCGTTACCAATGGTAACGGTTTTTGCCAAGAAAATAAAATCATGTGACTATGACGCACAGTTATAATCACAATACCAATGCTTACTATGTATAAAAATTAAAAAAAATCTACCGGATTATGGGTTTGTACAACTTGCGAAAAGGTGTGGTCTAATACTGGGAAGCTTGGGAGATGAATTTGGAGTGTTGTTTGAAAATGCCAGACTGTCTTCTTGATACATGTAATCACGTTTTCGCCTTAACTTTGCATGTTTAATTTTAAGAGCCGTACAATAATCAGTAAGATTGCTCAATCGGTGCTGTAAAAATAAACATGATGAGATATACAATAAATGATAGAAATGGAGTAAGTGAACAACAACCTCTAGAGAACGTAGCATCACATGCACTGCCTCATATGTAGGCAACTCTTTTGCCGAAGCAGGCAAAGAAGCCTTGTCAACTATTCCAAAACGATAAATCCCTGGAGTCCGGACATCCATTGCATATAGATTCATCTGCAAACCTGTGACATAAAAAAGCGCACATCTTGTTAGCAGTCTTATCAGAAATTTCTATTGCTTACTCTTTAAATAAGACCATTTACCGATAACTTGGCATCCGAATACAACAACTTTCATATAATCCGTCGATGGTAAACCAGGAAAGGTCTTTATTATTCTGTTTATCATGTCTCGCATTCCAACCATCAGTTTTAGCTTATCTGTCCAAATTTTTTTTGGACAACCTGCTGGAAGTCCTCCCGAGACTTCGCAAATGAAACCTTCTAAAGCTGGTCCTGTTGGTAAATCGATTATAATATCGGTCTTTTGCCCAGCACGTGCGCGCTCATTGTTAGGATCTTGACTTTCTCTGCGCCTTTCCTGGCTTGCTATTAGTTGTTGTTCAGACCTGAAGATCAAAAAATAAGATGTCAAAATGAGATTACAAAACAGAGATGATTTTTAAAATTACCAGAGTTTTCGAAATTTTTCCTGATTTGGATCCAAGCTCATATTAAAGACAGGGGCCACAAAGCGGATCATAAGTTCTCCCTCATTAAGTGGTAGTTTAAGATGTTCAAGATACGACTTTAATATTGTTAGATGGGCATTTAGTATAGGCAATGTTTGCCGAACTCCTAAGTCCTATTCAAAAAAGAGCACATGTGGGATAAGGAAATTAGCGAAACAAAAGCAATGGTTAAATACATGTAAACACATTACCTCCATATTATCAAAAAAGCATAGTTCGGACTGGTCAAGCCCTATCATTTTCCATCCAACATCAACTCGGAAATCATTGATCAAATAGTTCCATTTTCGTAAATACATTTCCTTTGTCGGTTTATGCTGTCCTGTTAAATCAAGGACTCCCCAATACGGTGGACTTCAAAGAGAAAGATGATATTAATGAATTTATCACAAATCTTGTCTGCAAAATCGTTATAAAAAATGAATACTTACTGGACCTCGGGACTTTTTTTAAGTAAGCATTGGCGCAGGGAAGTAAAACATTTTGAAACATCAACTCCATCGATCATAAATGAGTCCCAACTCTTTTCTATCGAAATTCCAGACTTTGGACATGGTGGTGCTAGTTCTTCTTCGCCTCCAATATAAGTTAAATCTACGTCATCCATAAGTTTATCGAAAAATCTGGATCTTTATAATAATCTTGTGAAGGACTCGATGGAGCTGATTTCACGACGTCATCATCCGTATGACAGTCATTTGTCATGTCCTTAGATACAATGCCATCATGCACAGGAAAAAAATCATCTATTTTTGTCCTTTTTATGGGAGGTTCTTTATGCTCGTCCTAAAATATTAAATGAAAAATAATTAATTCCGCGGGTTTTATATCTGACCAACACGACCTTTAGATTATTCATCCCCCTAAGAATGTGTCATATTTTCATGGATTATGAACTTAGGTATATGTTGCAATAATCTCACCTTCTTTGCCAGTGTTGTAGCTTCTTCAATATTCATTTTCTCAACATCATTCGCATCTCGACGATGCTTTCCTGGAATTATACGATTGTCATTGTATGTCGCGACATTTCCGGTTGCAAGTTGGTTTACCTGCTTTACTCGCAGATTCCCAACATTGACACGTGCACAATCTTGTTTTAGATTATTTATCGATGTAGTCCAGTTCTTAACAAAAAAATGAATAATTTAGAAACATTTTCAAGAAACAACAATTTACAACAATATAGAGAAAAAAGAAGCATCGAATTAAGTGCTTGTCCTTGTTAGACCAAGAGTCCCAGCTTGCGCTAAGCATCGAACCAAGAGTTCATCACTGGAGACCAAGAGTCCCAGCTTGCGCTAAACGTCGAACCAAGAGTTCATCACTGTTCAGACTAAGATCTTAATCCGTTCAAATATCTATCCTACTAATGATCATACCCTCCAATTGTCGAGGATCTCTCGGGCCTTTATTTTGCGCATTACTTCAAATTCAGATTCATAGTCTGCTACTTTCTGGAGGTCCTTTTTCATGTAATCCATTACTACTTTAAGATCCTTTTTCCCCGACCACGCATGGTAATGTTCTGCCAAATTAACGCACGTCCAGTCCTCAATTGCAGTTTCACGGTAAAAATCCATAAGTGTGCGCGTTGAAGGTATGTTTGAAAAATTTTATGTCTTGACGACGCGACGCGACTTTTGCATGTTATATAGAGTGAGGTAACTCGAATTTTTATTGGTTAAATTTAGGTAATACAAATGACATCAGATTTCAAAGCCACATGATTCTGATAATTATGATTTTTTACATTCATTATGAATTTCTATAGCTATTTTGTTTCTATCGCTATTAACTACAAGATTCTCATCCCCACACTCTTTTACTATACTGGATTTCTGAAATAAATTATCCCATTCATATTTACAGAATTTTCGGAGATTAAGTAATTTCGAATCTACGGATAAATTCGGGAGATTAGCAACTGAAGTAAAAAAAATATTTCTGATCACACTTACCATTACAGTCCGGTGTTTTTCCATATATGGAATTTCTAATTATGTAAATGATCAACATTCTAGAAGCTTATTAAGATCGACGGTGATACAAAATTTAAAAAAAAATTTTTTTATTTAACGTTGCGATAAAAGCATATACTTTGAATTTTACCCTG